TGTTGGTGGTCCAGGCAATATGTTCTCATCATGCTCTTCAAGGTGGAGTGGAACCTCTCAAGGCACCTTGGGACTGGGGGTGATAGGCGCTTGACTTAATGGATTTTATACCCAAACTTCTCGTAACTTGTTGAAACACCCCTGACATGAAGTTGGATCCCTGGTCTGACTGTATCACCCTGGGTAAGCCGACCATGGTGAAAAAAGCTAACAAGGGCCTTTACTATTTTCCTGGCGGATAGATTTCTCATGGGTATCGCTTCGGGAAACCTGGTCGAGGCGCACATGATCGTTAGCAGGTATTGGTTCCCTAACTTAGTTTTGGGTAACGGACCAACACAGTCTACGATAATGCGACAAAATGGCTCCTCGAAGGCAGGAATGGGATGTAGGGGTGCGATGGGGATTTTCTGGTTCGGCTTCCCTACAACCTGGCAGATGTGGCAAGTCCGGCAATGCTCAGACACGTCCCTTCGGATACCCGGCCAGTAAAAGTATCTGACGATCTTATCGTGCGTCTTGTTAACGCCAAGGTGACCCCAATGGGATCTCATGAGCTGTCCTCATGACCTCCGGTCTGTACCGTTTAGGGAGTACTATTTGGTGGACTGTCGACCAGTCTTCTGAGGCGGAGATGTGCGGGGGTCTCCACTTCCTCATTAGTACCTCATTCTTAATAAAGTATCCAGTTGGAACTTTCTCCAACTCATCCTCGGGCAATACGTGACGGAAGAGTGGGGTGAGCTCAGAATCACTCCCCTGCTCTGTTATAAGTGCTCTCCTCGATAATGGAATGTCCATAGCGGGCTCAACAATACCATCGCTATTTCCAGTTGGGTTACTATCGGGAGGATAATTTAATCCCACATCAGGATTTATAAACGTCTGCGATAGGTCTATCACTTCGTCCTCTGTCCTATCGATTATCTCGTTTGTCTTTTCATCGGCCTTCTTTCTGGCCTGTGCTCTGGTCACTGCACACGAGGGAAATATATCGAGATTCTCTTCCTCGATATCTTCGGTGTCTACCGAAGCAACCGGTTCCGAACTACTTTAGGGTGGGGTATCACCCTACCACCCGCCAATTCGTTTCCTAACAGCATGGATATGCCTTTCATAGGCAAACTAGGAACTACTCCGACCTCGACAGGGCCAGAAACTAACCCAGACGTGAGGTGGATTCGATGAAGGGGAACGCTAACAAAGTTGCTGCTAACACCCTGTATGATAACAAATTCGCCAGTGGCCGAATCCGATCCACACGGCACGAAGCTCTCCACAATCAGGGACTGAGTGGCCCCAGTGTCCCGCAAGATCTTCACGGATTTCTTCTTCGTGGGGTTATCAACGGGGGATACAGCACCATTAGACACAAATGGCCTATACTCCTCCCTCACATCTTCATTCGGTTTCCTATTTAGGGTAACGCTGTCGGAAGAAATTAGCCCTTGGGGTCTCTCTTGACTTAGGGCTCTGGACTCGGCATTCCGCTTCGTCCAACAATTCGACACGAGGTGTCCTACTTTATTGCAGTAGTGGCACATCGGGAGTTTCCTCTCTCTCCTATTCGTCTGCCGATAAACCGGTGACGGAGAACTAGGATTTTGAGATTTGGTATCTCTCGGACTGGGTAGTTGGCCTGAACTAACCGATCGACCAAACTTCGAATTCGGACCAGAACCAGATCCACGTCTTGGGTGTGGACCGCTTCCAAATTCGGATGGGTTGTTATGATTGAACGTACCCCGCTTATGTGTTAACGCGTATTCGTCAGCGAGGGTGGCCATCTCATATAAAGTATCTACCCTTTTTTTCATCGAGGTAGGTTTTCAAATTATCAGGGACACATTCTTTGAACTCCTCTATCAGTATCATTTGCCTTAGCCTATCGTGATCTGCCTCGATGTTTTTCGATAAACTCCATCTATCGAAATAGGTTTCTTTTTGTCTAGAAAATTCTACATAAGTCTGTTTGTCTCCCTTTCGGCAGGCTCTAAATTTTTGCCGGTATGCCTCCGGCACAAGCTCATACGACTTTAAAATGGCCGATTTCACAATGCTATATTCAGCGCAATCTGCTACTGAGAGCGCGGCATACGCTTCTTGAGCTTTGCCTTTTAGTGCGGTCTGCAGTAAAATTGGCCACGTTTCTATGGGCCATGCTAGGTTTGAGGCGACCTTTTCGAAATGCTGAAAATATTTGTCGACGTCAGCCTCGTTAAACTGCGGTACGAGTCGGACTTGCTTCGCTAAGTCGAACTCACTACTTCTAGCTTCGTGAAGTTCCCGCTTTTCGTCTAACTCCCGAAATCTAGTTTCTTGCTCGATTCTAGCTTTTGCTATTTCAGCCTTTGCTCTTTCAGCTTCGGCTCTGACCTTAGCCTCGGCCTCAATTTTCACTTTCTCGAGCTCGAGTTGTGCCTGCGAAAGTTCCGACGTGTCTAGTGATAATTTACTTAATTCTTCTACGTCGAAAAACGTCGTTATCTACCATATGCTCACAGACTATCCTGACTAGCTGAGTTTTTTCTCATAGACTTCGTTACCTCTAGTTCTAATTCCTTCCCTATTTCAACTATATCATCCTTCTTAAGCTTACATAATTTTTCCATAGAGGGCGATGCGAGAAAACTATCTATAACCGACATCTTGGCCTGTAGTTCGCCGACACCCTGAAGTTGTGCGATTCTTACTGAGTGAAAAAAAAACAGGGAGAAAAGATTCTCGGAACGAGCCCCCAATTTTATATATTACGAACTTGTAGCATATAGATGAACCACGGGTTCTAAAAAAAAAAGGAAAACGTGGTTTCTTTTCTCGGTCTTCACTCAGAAATGGAAGCGACACAAGGGAATCAACGAAGAACAGACGCAAGACGATGGATTTCAAAATTAAACATTTATTTATAAATATATATATAACGAAACAAAGAAAGAAAAAAAAAAGAACATTCATTTAACAAAGGGGAGGACATCAGTAAAGAATAGAAGGCGCGAGCGAATACATACATATATGAAAAATAGATCGAGCCAAAAGAACCAACTTATCTTGCAGTCGGGCTGGTATCTTCACAAAGTTTTGATTCGCCGAAGCGAGAGTTCTGATGATAAATCAGTATCTTGGCCGGCCGACAATGTTCCTGGATTCTTCTTCTTTTCGCAAGTGTTCGTGGGTCCCCAGCATTTCATACAGGCATTTGGTTGGGTTGATCAGTCAATAGCAGCTTTTCAATCACTGGTCGATAGACTTCGTGGTCTTCCTCATCTCAGTGGGCGGTCTGACGATTTTTTGCCCAGCGATGTTCAACTGCCGCTGGTCAGAGGGAAACTGAAAAATCCTTCTTTGGTTTTCGCTGTCCCCACAGACAGTCACGTGGGTTCCCTTCGTCCTTGACCGGGTACGCAGGAGAATAGGGCGCAAATCACGCAGTGTTTGTGTGATGGCCAAAAGTTCAACGCATGCTCCGTACGTCCCGATCACGTGAATCGCAGCATGAGACCCTGATGGTGTCTGGAGTTTACTCATGGTCAAACGCGAAATCTTAGAACCAGGTCATCCTCGCGTCGGGTCACTTCTAAGTTCACGGGCCCTTGGCTGGCGGGTGGAAGAGAGGATAAGGAGAGAAAGAATTTGTGAAGAGAAGAGGTGGGGGTATGGCTGATCATAGAATATATTCGCTCGCGAATCGGAAGCATTGGATTAAATTTCTGTTTTTATCTATTTATTTATCTTTCTTTATATCTAACTAATTTTCTCTTTATTTAAGATTTTACTTTAGCCTAACGCCTATATGGTTAATGAAATCGTTGCTACGGAGGGTGTAATAGAAGAAAGAAGAACAGGAAGGTCTAAAGGTGAAGGTGGGGATTAAAATTTAACAAAGAAAAGTTTTAAAGAGAATATTTAAATAACGGTTTAAATGAGTGAGATACAGATAAATATGAATTATTTTCAGATGCATAATTCGCTACGGATTCGCTGACCTAAAATTAAAATTAAAAAACACACACCATGTATTTGATTTTCGGTAGATATATCCATAATATCTTGTCTACAGGTCGATAAATTTGGATCACAAAGAACCATAAATTCCATTATATAAAACACATTTCAGGAAACTTTGAAAAGAAACTGAAGTCAAATGAAACGGAAATACTTAAGGCCAAGGACAAAATTTGTTTCATTTATTGTTAAATGGAATTACACTTAAATACAAAAAGTGTCTCTTCTTAACTATAGGCAAAATAGAAAGACAGTCTAAGTTCTTTAGACCCGTCAAATGTTCAGTTTTGGAGTCAGGGTAGTACTGAAAAGGGGAACATTAACTTTTGGTCTGGTTCTTAAAGGAATCTATAGGATTTAGAAAAGAAGTATTGATATTTAGAATTTTATGAACTTTAAATACATTTAATGCTGAAACATTTGCCCGGAACTTCCCCTGGCAGTTGAATTTCTACCGAAATTTCTTCTATTTCTTTCTGCTCATTTCTAGATCTATTCGTTATTGTGATAATTTCTATGATAGAATAAACGAGATTGTATGAAGAACTTCTCTGCTGAAAGAACAATGTTGCGCATGAAGTGAAAATCCAGGAAATAAGTGAATCCACCCCAAAACCAATATTATTAAAGCCAACAAGATTGTCCATACAAAAAGCAGTTTTACTAAAATCAGATTATACTTCGCAAGCCTCTCGCTAAATATTCTGACGAGCTACATTTTTTAATTCAATCAGTTCAAAGCCATACATCTAAGACCCGTTATAGCAAATCTATACGGTCAAATGATCATCATGCTCTTTATATTCCAATGCTAAGAAGAACATTCCCATCGGACAGCTTCTTCCCAGGAACCACTTGGGTGCTCACTTGATTACTACAATTTCAAGTGTAGCGTCAACCGTTATCTACTTTCATTTAGTGGCACTCTTCTTTGAGTGGCTCTTAGACCTTGTATTGGATGAACAACAGTAAATAAAATAAGAAAGAAAGAAACAAACAAAGAATCAAAGAAACAAATAAAGAAAGGGAAATTAATGGAATAATAAGAAAGAAAGAAAGAAAGAAAAGGAACAGATTGATAAGAAAGAAAGAAAGAAAGAAAGAAAGAAAGAAAGAAAGAAGGGGAAATGAACGGAATAAGAAAGAAAGAAAGAAAGAAAGAAAGAAAAGGAACAGATTGATAAGAAAGAAAGAAAGAAAGAAAGAAAGAAAGAAAAGAAAGAAAGAAGGGGAAATGAACGGAATAAGAAAGAAAGAAAAAAGAAAAAAAAAGAAAAAGAAAAGGAAAAGGAAAGATTGAAAAGAAAAGAAAGAAAGAAAGAAAGAAAGAAAGAAAGAAGGGGAAATGAACGGAATAAGAAAGAAAGAAAGAAAGAAAGAAAAGGAACAGATTGATAAGAAAGAAAGAAAGAAAGAAAGAAAGAAAGAAAGAAAGAAAGAAAGAAAGAAAGAAAGAAGGGGAAATGAACGGAATAAGAAAGAAAGAAAGAAAGAAAGAAAGAAAGAAAAGGAACAGATTGATAAGAAAGAAAGAAAGAAAGAAAGAAAGAAAAGAAAGAAAGAAGGGAAATGAACGGAATAAGAAAAGAAAGAAAGAAAAGAAAGAAAGAAAAGGAACAGATTGATAAGAAAAAAGAAAGAAAGAAAAGAAAGAAAGAAGGGAAATGAACGGAATAAGAAAAGAAAAGAAAGAAAAGAAAGAAAGAAAGAAAAGGAACAGATTGATAAGAAAGAAAGAAAGAAAGAAAGAAAGAAAGAAGGGGAAATGAACGGAATAAGAAAGAAAGAAAGAAAGAAAAAAAGAAAGGGAAATGAACGAAATAATAAGAAAGAAAGTAATGAGGAGAGATCTGGTCTATTAGGAAGTCTTGTTGTCTCTTGATCTCCACTTAAATCTAATAATACTACTGTTTGAAAACGCAATAATTGCGAACAAATAAGAATAGTCATGAATACTGAAGTGAGTGCTTGGATACAGAAAAATCTTGGAGCCTAAAAATGGTCAGCCTCAAATACTGAAGGTCTTCATTGGAATTCCAGAATTAGTTAAGTATATACATTAGGCTTCTATCCTTTGCTGGTGAATATTTTTCATGTATGAATCTAAAAGAAGATTTTTCTCAAATTTCAATGAAACTGTTACCCGTTTAACAATTTCGTTTACGCAATTTCTCTGAGAAAACTTGGGTCGCCCGTTGTATGGTTCGCAATCACTTTCCAACAATGCCGTCCTCTGGGATCATCTCCAATTGACCATGAGATTATCATTATTATATGCCTTTGAATTCGGACTTGTATAATAAGTCTTACATTCGTTTCATCCGGAAGGCTTCTTCAGCTATCCGCGTAGAATGCTTAAATATTCGGTTGAATATTCCGAGAAGGAGACTGAGTACAAGAGAAGCCTTAAAATTGGTGGATGCTACATCAGCTGAGATACTCTGAATATAACAACTAAAAACGATTATGTTGATTCGAATACAAAAACAGAAAAGAAAGACAGCATATGGAAAAGCAGACAAAACGCTATTAGTAAAACATTAAAAAATGTTTCGTTTTTCGCGTTGTTTCCTTTTATTTTTCATTGCTTTCTTTATACTTTTCTCTTTTATATTTGTTTCTTTTGTGTTCTTTTTTTCTTTCTAATATCTAGATATATTTCTGGGCTCTTGCTTTTTTTACAGGCAACATTCAACTTCTTTTTTTCTAATTTGTAACTTATTTTTTTTTATTACTATTCCGTTCATTTTCCTTTCTTTCTTTCTTTCTTTCTTTCTTTCTTATTATTCCATTCGTTTCTCTTTCTTTCTTTTTCTTGTTCATTTTCCCTTCTTTCTTTCTTTCTTTCTTTCTTTCTTTCTTTCTATTACTCCTTTCATATTCCCTTCTTTCTTTCTTTCTTTCTTTCTTTCTTTCTTTCTTTCTTTCTTATTATTCCATTCTTTTCCCTTCTTTGTTTTTTCTTTGATTTTTTGTTTGTTTCTTCTTTCTTTCTTTCTTTCTTTCTTTCTTTCTTTCTTTCTTATTATTCCATTCGTTTCTCTTTCTTTCTTTTTCCTGTTCATTTTCCCTTCTTTCTTTCTTTCTTTCTTTTTTCTTTCTTTCTTTCTTTCTTTCTTTCTTTCTTTCTTTCTTTCTATTACTGCTTTCATATTCACTTCTTTCTTTCTTTCTTTCTTTCTTTCTTTTTTCTTTTTCTTTCTTTCTTTCTTATTATTCCATTCTTTTCCCGTCTTTGTTTTTTCTTTGATTTTTTGTTTGTTTGTTTGTTTGTTTGTTTGTTTCTTTCTTTCTTTCTTTCTTTCTTTCTTTCTTTCTTTCTTTCTTATTATTTCGTTCATTTTCCTTTCTTTCTTTTATTCATTGTTTCTTTCTTTCTTTCCGCATTGCTTTTAGTCTTTCGTCATTATCTTTTTTTATCTTTCTTTTGTTTTTCGGGAAAAAATTCAAACTTTTCTGTCTTTCTCCTCCTCCTCCTCCTCTTCCTCCTCCTCCTCCTCATAATTCGTGTCCCCCCCCCCTCCACACACTTCTCGGTCATAATCTCGCTTTGTAAACTTTTATCCCGCTTCTCGAAACTTATTCTCGATTACTCACAAGCTCTCCCAAGAGTGACAAAATCAATATTTATCGATAATCTTTTGCTGGGTCTCATCTATCAGCTTGGAGGAGACAACTCTTTAAATTCAATTAATATCGAATTTATGTTGGGCCACTCCCCAAATATTCCTGCCCGTGTAAGCCAATGCTCGGCCCTGTCACATCAATTTGTCCGAGTCCCGCTGATTCGAGTAGAAGGCTTTGATGAACTCTTATCAAAGCGACAGCGCTTGATTGATGACAATTCTCTGTCGTACACGGGATTTTATGTGCATATAAATGTAGCTATTGACTTCGAAAATGCAGCAAAATGCACGAGTCATTGGCAAAGAGAACACTCTTGAATATCGCTTATTACATTGAGTACACCTATCTATATATTACAAACACGCACACACACACACGCATGCACATATATATGGTAGCACCTGTTAGGGTCCGAGTTATGGGCAAATAGTTGACACCCAAACTGGGGTCAAAACACTGTAAAAGTGTAAAAATAGGTTTTAATACCAGCAATATATTTTTTGTTAAAGGTTATTACCAGCAATTAATTTTTGAAGAAAAAATATTACAATATATATATAAACACACACACACACACACACACACACACACACACACACACACACACACACACACACACATATATATATATATATATGGTGTGTATATGTCACCACGAAATGTATCTTTATGCATTAGACATCCGTCGACTTTCTTTCTCTCCTCTTTTTAAATTCCCAACACCCACCCACCCACATCTCCTAAAATTCTCTCTGTTAAGGTTTCATGTCCCTCCTCCTCATACTTACACTTTCTCTAAATTCTGTTTTGATTTCCGGAGTTGTTTTTTTCTGTTTTCATTTTGAATTTGTAGGTCTGATGATTTGGATCGTATTTACGATTCCAATGGAATAAATTATGACTATGGAATATTAGTGTTTAAGCCTTTTTATTATATCCTTACTCTGTCCTAGACATTGAGTTCTACCTGGATCCTTCCTCTTGGAAAAATTTTTTTTTTTTTTTTTTCTGAAAATATACATGTATGGGAATTTTTTATATATATATTTTGCATATGTATGTATATTTTCCACTAATATTATCTCTCTCTCTATATATATATATATATGTATGTATATAAATATATGTATGTATATATACTACTTTTACATATATATATTTATGAATTTTGCTTTATATATATACATATATATTCTTATTTATTATATTTTTCATGTAGACAAAAACAGTTTACTCGCTGCAAAAGTGCAATTTCGTTTCAGTGCATTTCAATTGCACCTCGACTGGTTAGAACTTTGGTTCTCACCAGTCGAGTCGAAAGATTTCTTTACGTTCGTTTAAGCAGGCGCACGCGCGTGTGTGTGCGTATGTGTGTGTGAAATATTGTTGTATCTGCAAGAAATCATTTTGCAAAGCTGAAAAAAGAGTGGCCAATCTGAGCTAGAACGCTGTTGATCATTTCATTAATGGAGATTTCCGTCAGTGGCACTTACTGGTCAAGACAACTGCAAGACTACCTTTGCATTATCTTGTGACATCTGGTAGTCAATGGAAGCGGCTGGCTTTCAATTCTTGTCCGCTCCGTTCACCGACAATTAAATTTTATTATGACTACTTTTATTGTCATGGCTTTTTCCTCACCTTTCACGACATTGTTGAACTTGCAAAGTAAGGCGAATGGTAAGAGTTTTCTATCCCTCGTAGATCACATTTTCGCGATAAATTCATATTTATATATAGGTAGACATCTTCGGATGTGCGAATAGAGTAGTCTTTTCTAGTGAAACTGGCGAGCCTGGTTCAAGATCCGACCAAAGCCGTTGCCTAAACTTTTACAAAAATTCTCTTGAAAAAGCCACGTCCTTCTTTTTCCTGTACCCAGGCAGACTGGTCTTCGTTTGGCAGCAACTCTAGGAGAAAGTAAGCTCTGAATTCCGAACCAGTTGTGCATGGGACTAGCAACTCCAGCTATTAATACCTGTTTGCTACTAAAACCACAGCAACAACACCTAGAATGGCCAGGCTTTGATAATTTACTGTCTACTAGTTCAATCGACCAACAGTACACCCTGGAGCAAATTAATTGAAACAAACGCTTTAGTTTCCTCTCTTTCACCATGCGGTCAGTTTTAGACCCACTGGAGTGATAGGGTCTAATCGATTTCTATTTTTTCCTCAGATTAAGTCATTTTCAGTGGTGTGTAGTAAAATGAATCTATGATGAGATTTGTTTGGCACTGAAAAATATTGCATCATCCGTGATTGCATAGGTTTTTATCACGCCCTGGCACTATTGTCTCGACTATCGATTAGTTGTCTGACGGCCATTGTCTGCGATGGCCGTTACTCCAAGGAAGCGTACAAAAATTGTAAAGCTGCACGAACATATTGACAAGCCTTACCAGTGAGCAAATCAAAATACTATAGACTGGCCCGGAGACTCTCCTGATTTAAATCCAATCGAGAATCTTTGGTCAATCTGCAAGGAAAGACTTCGTGGAATGGACATGTACTAACCTGTGCGCTGAGTAATCTTTCATTGGAAAAAATACGAAAAAAGTAAATAATAACGGAATTATTCGTTTTGTTTCAATTAATTTGCACATGGTCGTATATATATATATATATATATATATATACAAAGTATTGTTTCAATTAATTTGAACAAGGATGTATATATCTATTGCGTACGTCCGATCCCATAAACAAATCATTGAAACATTTCGAGAAAAAAAAATCTCTATCCTAAAGTTGCTGATGTGATATATCTTGAGAAAACTGTTTGTATTAAAACAGCTGGCGAGATATTTGGCAGACATCGCACATTTTAGGCCACGTAGCAATTCATAGAGTACTTAATATTAGCCAATTTAATTTCCCTACTAGTTTTATATATTTCTACAAGATAATTATGACTAACTTTGGTAAATATGATCGATACAGTACCGAGTAAACTGCATCGTAACCATTGGTAGCCACTGTGCATAAACATGGTGGTATCGTAAATTTCACTAAGAAAAAAAAACAATACTGTCATCACCATAAATTCACCCATGTTGATGTTAATTATTCAAATTGCCAGCGTTCTTACGGTTGCCAATGCTTTTGATGGTGTCAAATGCTAGGCAAACGTTTTGCAATAATGTGATAGATCTTTTTTTTTTATACTAGGGAGTTGTTTTTTTCTATGACGATCCTCTTGGATAAATTCACTAATTGGTCCCCAATTTCCTGACATTTCACTCATCCTCTTGAAGTGATATTCTGCCGTCTTTGAAATGCACGTGCCATCCAAAGACTTGTATTCGCCCTAAATAAATTTCGTGAGAATTCTGGATTAATATTTCAAGGGATTCTGTAGAATAGTTGCTAAAATATTTTTAAGGCAATTCATCCCAATGCATAGGCGATGCAAAATTTGTTCCCAAGAATGTTGTTCGAATTTGCCAGATATTTTAAAGGTTTCAGATTCATTCCACTTCAACGTAATACAAACTGACGTAATAATCCAACACATGTAGATAGCACAAAGCCACACAGGGAGACATCTTTTATTTATTCACTCTAAACATTATATATTTATTGAGTCAAAAATAAAAGCGACAGAAGATGAGAATAATATCAGTGATATTTTCTGTCTTTAAATTCTAGGCTCTGAATTGGATTTCTAAATAGCTTTGGAAGATAATATTGATTATCAGAAAAACTGAGAACGGATAAACGAGTTTCTATGAACAATCTGTTTCAAGAAGCTTTTAATTCGACAACTGATCTATTAGATTTCAGCATTGATTGTAATTAAATGAGAACAATCAAAGAGAAAAATCGAACATATTTACAAATCAAGAAACAAAATAAAAATTTTTAGGCAAAAAAAAACTGAATTAATGTAAAGATGAAAATGACTAACTTGAAAAAATACGTGAAAAGTTTTTAGTTTATCAATTTTGCAAAGAAAAATAGAAACTGACTTTTGTTACAAAATTGCTGGTGGTACACGTATTTATTGCTGACTCTTAATTAAGAATCGGGTAAAGAAAAAATGAAAGGCATGAACCCATATTATCTTAATGGTGGAATAAATCCTCATAATCTGTTTCATAATCTTTTTATTCAATAAAACAGTATAATAAATACATTAAACATTCACAGTGATAGAATATACGTGTGCCTAAAAAATATTCATATATTTATATCACGTGATGATGGCGTTATCTATCGAAATATACTTGTATTTTCTTTTTTTTTTTTTTTTTTGTATTTTTTTATGTTTCCGTAATGGGATTATACGTTGCTCACGTCAAGTTGGATATCATCAACATGTCGAAGGTGAATGATTTGAAAGTGAAATTAAAACAACGAATGCATCCAATTCAGGAATGATTTTCTAACATTATGAAGATCCTAAAGGCACACGAACACGTATGAAAAACTAGCTCAAAGACAAGATCTTTCTCTTGTAGTGTGGATCCAGATTCGGATCCACACTCATTGCAACTCTAAGTCTTTGTTTTTCAGAAAATTTGAGCCGAGAACTTAACGCCATGGTCTATTCAAGATACAAGATTCAAGATACAAGAACAATTTCCAAGATACAAGATGCAAGATACAAGAACAATTTTCAAGATACAAGATACAAGAACAATTTTCAAGATACAAGATACAATAACAATTTTCAAGATACAAGAACAATTTTCAAGATACAAGATACAATAACAATTTTCAAGATACAAGAACAATTTTCAAGATACAAGAACAATTTTCAAGAT